TAATAGTTTATTCATTTAAAAATAAATAAATATATTTAAAAATTTAATATATATATATATATATATATATGTTTACATATCATTTATCTAATTAACATTTTTAAGCTATGATCTTTGTTATAAATTAATTCTTCTATGTGTTATATAAGATGTTGATTAGAGTTAATCAGCATTCTATTTGTTTGAATACAAACATGCTTGTAACAGAAACAACAATTTTATTCTTGCTATTATATATATAAATAATTTATTGAAATGTAATAATTAAATTTGTCAATTAATATACATTTTAATGATTGAAAAATCTTAATGAAATTGACAGGAGATAAAAAAAATTTATGAAAAAAATGAATATAATATTTAAAAATAGTGTATTTTTAATATGAAATTATTTTCAATTTTGTCTTGAAATGGAAAACGGGTTAGTAAAACATTCATGGACATTTAGCAGAGATTATGAAAGATTAATCTTTAGAATTCCAGGGAATGGATATAAGGTTAATTTTATTTCAAGATATGTATTATATCATTATATTACATTAGAATATATATATTAATACTAGTCATCAGTATTAGATTTCGTATAAAAAGCCGAAAATAATTTAGCCTACGAACCTGTCACCAGCTTCATCTACCATCTTTACAGTCAGTCTTCCAAACACTGGAACGCTGGTCTGGATGAACCGGAAAAGAAATCTTGAATATCGAACCGGATGTAAAAATCAGCTGATTCAATTTAAGCATTCGCATGAGTCAAGTCGTAGATTGCATCTTGAATTTATTCAAATGTGTTTTTTCATAATGTAGAAAATATCCCATTACTTGATTACGTTTAAAAAGAAAGAAAGATTAAGATTATATTATTTGCATAATTATTATATAATACAATCAGAAGAATATTTTTTACTTTTGTCATTTTATATTTATATGCAAATTTTTTAATTGATTATATCAGCTACATCTTTTTCAAATATATTTTTACGTAATTTTATATTTTAAAACTAAACAAATATTAATCTTAAATCAATTATAATTTTATTTTTCTGTTTTAAATTGATATGTTTATTATATTATAATATTACATTATGTGTTATATTAAAAAATAATATTAAAAAGAATTATTATTCATATATTATCATATATTTTCATATTATATATAATATTTTTAAATTTTTTGTATTATATTCATATTATATTCATATTATATTCATATTATATTATATTATATATTTTCTATAATGTAAAATATATCTTGTGTAAAAAATTAATATTTATTATACAATTATTTATTACTTAATTAATCATATTTAATTCTGCTGACTTTTATAATATTTATTAAAAATATTTATTTACAAATTTATTTTATAATATTTATTGAAAGATCAAAAATAAATTTAATAAAATTTAAATAAATTGTGAATAAATATTAATTATTTTTTTGCAGGAATAATATGTATATTCGTTGAACAATCAAATCATTAAAAAAAAATTAGATAATGAAGATGTACAATTATTATTGCATAATAATAAAAAAATAGATAAAAGAGAAACGCAAAATTAATTGAAATTCTTACGCCGGCGCTATATTCCAGTAGAAGAAGGAACTAGTTTGGCGCTGGCGTAGTATCGTATACAAGAGGCGTGCTACGGTCGATCGAGCGAGAGTGAGCGCTGCCGGTGGCATAGAGGCCGAGTTAAACGGGCCAGATCGCAGATGGACGTCCGCGGGAGCGTTCTGTCATGGAGAGCACAACGCGATGTGCCGTAAGTGTGCTCAAGTATCGTCGTCATCGTGGTCGTTGCCGAAATAATCGCGTGTGTAGTATTTCAAATCGTATCATAGGATTATCACAGTGACAATCGATATATTTAGGCGTGCGTAAAGATCGTGGTGCTCGTGGTGCTACTATCGGTATATCGTGAACTGTGGCAGTCGAATAATTGTATCGTAGCCACGTCTCTATATATCCAAGACGAATCTTTAGCGATTAAAAGAAGTGATTCTTTGTGAATCGAATAATCGCATCTACGTGCGATTAACGTTCGATTCATCGAACAATCGATAAATCGGCAAACGGTGCTGTGACATGTTAACTGAGGTGCATGCCATTGTGTCTAATAATAGATTCGTGATTCGAAGTATCGCATATAATCCACGTGTTCGTTTCGAAGAGCGTACGGTATTCAAATATTGTCAACAAGTTCGAGGAATAGTCACCTGCTACGTAGCATTTGGACAACCGTTTCGTGGAATTGAGTCAATGTCGACAACGGTACGCGTGTTGTTACCGCGTGACATAAAGGCATTGTAAACACACAAGTACGAGACGCACCTCTTTGTATATATTACGAAATTTAAACGAAGTTGAGCACGTATATTTCTCGTAGAACGTATGTAAACAACAAGCAGAGAAACAAATCAAAGTTTTTTCCGGTTACGACCATTATAAATATATTATTTATATACATTAGCTCCTATCTACGCATATTTCGCTTTTCGAGAATAACGAGCGACGCTTCGATATACAATCGATTTTCGATCGTATCACGAACCTGGTCACATGGTACAAACGAAATCGATTGCGATTATAACCGGAAACGTATCATTGTCGATCGATTGCTCGATAAATGTCGATCTTCATACGAAACAAGAATACGAAATCCTGTTAACTCGATCCGTTAACGTAACGGACACACGAAGATTGCGGAGACTGAGTCGTTTCGTAGCGCATTTTTATAAACGAAATCGTGTGTAAATCAAATTATTTGGTGGTGATAAGGAATTATATCAAAGTTTACGAAGTATATTAATCGATCGGGCAAAATCAATGCGTTCTCGCTTCTCGAACAGCGGTGTACGACAGTGACAAATAAAAAAGGGAGTGAAAGACGAACGATGCTGTCCGGTCGTCGCGGTTAATTCGCACGTGTCGCGATGTCGGGCGGCACGGCGGGCGTCCGTGGCACCGGCGCCGAGTGCAGGAAGTTCGCGCCGAACATATTCAACAAGAGCAAGTGCAGCAGCTGCTTCAAGCAGAAGGAGGAGCACAGCGCGGAGGCTCTGGAATGCAACAGGGTGAGTTTTGCTTGATGGACTCTCTATCTTTCTCTTTTTCTCTCTTTTTCTCCTTTGCGTGTGTCTTTCTCACTTGCTCATACGTTCTCTCTCTTTTTCTTCTTCTTTCTTCTTCTTCATCTTTATCTTTCGTTCGTTGCGTATCTATCTTCGTCTCAGTTTTACGCGTGCGTACTCGATTTATCGCGAACCGGCATTTTGTCTTTCTTACTCGCTCTCGAATTTTTTAGTTTCTGGACCAGGCAGAAAGACGAAAATCCTGTTGATATTATGTAAGATGAACGCGATTAGTCTGCGGAATGAACGGTTTTCAGCAGACACCGTACCAACATCTCTTTTCAGTTTTTGTCGTGTCCATATAGCGGTTCGTTTCTCGTGAAACTGTACGATTCGTTTGTACGTGATTTTGTAGGCGATTATCTTGCAAATAGATTCTATTTATATTATTACGATCGGCATACGAGAATATGATATTAAACTTATTTTTTTTCTAATAAAAATTCATTTTTAATATATAAAAAAATTACATATAAAATGTTTAATTTAACATTGGATTAAAAAAAAAAAAATGAAACATAAACGAAATTCAAGGTTGATGAAGATAGATGGAAGAAATTACTATTGGCGGAGGCGTTGAGAGTTTTTCAAGGTTAATCTTGATCAATCGGATAAGGCTATTCAAAGCGTATCTTTTTAAATAGACCGAAGGTCGATAATCATAAAATCATTTTCTTCAATGTTACAGGTCATTAAACTTTTTTTTTTTAAATAAAATAAAACATATCTTCAAATCTTTGAGATTTCTCTTATTTTCCATCATCCAAAGATCAACTCGTGTTTCGATTAAATCGTAATTTATAAACGAATTCCCGAAAAAGTACGAGACATAAATACGTGACACGCGATACAAGGGACGTTAAAAGAAGAAGAACAAGAATCTTTATACTATAGTTTTCTTCCTTCTGCCGTGGTTTTTATTTATAACAGGGTCCGGCGCGCTCGTCGATGAGCAAAATTGCCTCGTAAATGCGGGGTCCCCAGAGAAATGGGTGGGGGTGGTAGAAAAATAAAAGCGTTAAAAACCAATTTACGCTACGGATCGTACGGTACCGTTGAAATACCAGCATCGCAACGTTATAACATATATGCGTATGTTAATATCGCGGAACCGTTCTCCGTTTAAAGTCCGTTCGATAAGACAACATTTATTGTCTTTGTCTCCTCTGGTTCTCTCAAGTTTCTTGGATTCATCGACGATTATCCGGTTTTTCTATCCTCGCCTCGTATTTCTTCTTACTTTTTACGCCGGAATCGATTGGAAGAGAGGGAAAAAGAAGACTTTGAATAGATATAGATGCTTTTTGTGGTTATGAGAAAACGTATAGCCGATACGATGAACGACGAGCGGCATTTCTGGTTTCCACTAATGACGCCAGGAAAATTGCACGTTGTGTTTCACGCGATTGATATTGATTTTATCTTTATATATTTTTATCGGGAAATATTTACCAAGTATTGTGTTCATCGGATAATTTTATTTCGTTTATCTCGTTGCTTTATAAAACATATAAAATGTATATTGATTTGGAACATTGAAGTTTAGAAAACTGAAATATTTTAAACAAGTTATTCTTTTTATATATGGAATGGAAATAAAAATTTAATCAAGTTTGCTTATTATTTTACGGTATTTTCTTAAATTTCTTGGCAAATTTTCTTCTTAAACTTCAATGTGATCAATCAATTTAAAAGGCAACGTAAGGCATAGTAATATAATTTCAATTTATAATAGTTTCTTGTCTGGTAGTTGAATTCTATCAGCCTTTTTACACAATTGAACTATTATCATCGAAGAAATTTGTATCGTAGAAGTTATGAGTTTGATGATAAAAGAAATAAAATCTTACGGTGATTTTTATGAATCACGCAAATCACTTGATTATTTCATTCAATATAAATTTATGATTAATATCTACGATATAAATTTATCACTTGTTGATTTATTAATATTTATTAGCTAGAAGATTATTAGAATTTAAGTAGAATTAAAAAATTACAAATTCAACAAATTCAATGGTGGAAAGAATATTGCCATTACAAAATTGATGAAATTCTATCGCGAATCTGATTATGAATTTCTTTCGAACATCTCAATTATATAATCTTTATGTAATAAATTTATAATTTTTCGCGAAAGACACGTCAAATCGAGAAAATCTCTATGCGAAAACGAATCGAAAGAATACTTGCCCAACGTTAACATAAAATCTCAAATACATAATATAAAATGGAATGGAAATAAGAGAAAGATTCGCGCGAATTTGAGGTATGAGTTTCGGTGAAGGGGACGTATTTCCTTTTTTTTATCTCCCCTCCCTCCTTCCTCCTCCCCCCCCCCCCCCCCTCCCCCCCCCCCCCCCCCCGTTTTCAGCCAAAAGTCGGGGCAATTTTGTACACGGTACAATGGGACACGTTCCCGAGGCCGTTGCAAATTTCGGAATGTCGGCAGCCTTGCGACCTGTTCTCGGTGCATTCCAGCCGTCTTCTCGCGGCACCCCAACAGGCGCAGGGCCCTTTCCAGAGTTGTTGGCTTGTCGGCTTTCGCCTGGATGCGGTATCTCTGTATCGGTTTATTCTCCGCCACTTTGCCTCTCTGTCGCTCCCTCTCTGTCCAACCACCAGCTCGTCCACCTCACCCCTCTCTCTCTCGCGCCCACTATCTCTCCCGTTCCTCGGTGTTGTCCCCCCTCCCTCCCCGTATAACCGCAAATAACGAATGCATACGCAATCCAACCTTTCTTTGCCCCTCGGTCGCACGGTTCTTCGTCTCGTAATTTGACGAGGAGAGCCTCGAATCGAAGGAATTTGACCTTTTACTGCGTTTCTCGCGGCGGCCCTCTCCCCGAGATCGTTTCTACGAGTTACGACTATCGCGGAAGTGGAGGCTGATTGCGTGAATACCTGCGAAACGCGTGTTCCACACCGATTCCAGGCCTCTTAAAGGTTATACGAGCGGATTGGGGGAGGTTCCACGTATAGGCGTATATATCTATCTCGGTTACTCTGGTTATAATCGTATATGTTATACTCATACTTCGTTCGAATCGTCGATTTCTGGAAGAAAGAAACAGGTATCGAAATTCTTGTGAAATTTTTGCGGGGTTTCCGTGTCGTGGTGTCGTATCCATTTCACTAGCTCCATTTATATCTGCTTTTTTTGTCGAGCTATGTATCGATGGAAGGAAAAAAAAGAAACGAAAGCCGAGGTTACTGAGATTTCATGGGTTTTCAAACGATTTTTGGTTTGATTTAGTGTAAAGTGATGCCAAATGCTCGAAACATTGGTATGATACATTCTGTTGAGTATTTGGTATCGAATTATTTGAATATTATCAAAAACATCGATCACTTTGGATCAGATAAGGACAAGGTTCCTACAAATTGAATTCTCATGATTTTTCCAAATCTGTCGATCGGTTTTTGTTCGCAGTTAGGGGGATTGTAATTAATAACGAGGCGTATTCGGTTTCGGTTAATTGAATCCTTGGATATTGTATTCTCATTGTCAATTTTAATATATTGTATCTCAGCGTGGTGTCTTTAGGGTGACGTTGTAAGTTTGTCGAAGCTCGAAGTCATCCTTGTCGACAAGGAAAATAAAATTGCATTGCCTTTCATCGACTCCCTTTCACGTTTAATTATATTACAATAATGAATATAATACGACAAGAGTTCTTCCATTGTATCTGGAGCAAGATATTTTTCTTCAATTTCTTCATTCGATTCAAAAAAAGAATAAGAATAAATCAATTTACCAATCTTGCAATCTTAATCGAAACAGAAATATTTCTTATTTCATCTTAGAAAAATAGAAATTTTACCGATCTACCGATAATTCTAAATTATCCCCTGTATTTCCTTTGCAGAATAACTAAAATCCCCAATTTGATTTCCAAATCCTCCCTTATTAAAAAATCACAAGGTTAAACGCCATTGAAAATCCTCAATCTCGCGCGTAACCACGCGATCATTGAACCGAAAATCTGGATCCCATCGAATCGGAGAGATCGCGGTTTAAGCGTTTCTCGTTTAATTACGATTTTTCACGCGATTCGACGCTCGATTCCGCGGTTTAATCCCTGTGATCATCGACCACCCTTTCGTTCCGGGTTCCGCGACGTGAGAAAGTGATCAAAAGTAGCCGTGATCGAACGAGAGAGAGTCGAGAAAACGACGATTGATAAAGGATCCCCGCTGTGCCCGTGTTGCGTACGGGGCCCGTTGTTGTTTCTGGACCCTCTGGAGAGAAGAGTGAGAGAGAGAAAGAGACAAGAAAGGGGGGAGGAGGATAGGGAGCCCGGGGGCCGCGTTGTTCACGACCAACCATTATCGGTCCGCGGCTCCGTATTTTCTGTCCGATTACTTCTTCGTGAGCGCCTCGGTAAGTGGCCTTCGAGAAATAATTTCCTCTGGGGTTTCGTGGCCACTCGAGGTCCCTGAAATTTTGATCCGGTGAAACGATTTCGAGATGCCTTACGGTACCGATTCCTCCTCTCCTTCCATTTCCTTTATTTTATCCTCCTCCTTTCTCTCTTCGCCCGCCCCCTCCGCTGGTGCACGCGTTCACCGCGCAACAGATGCGTACGTGTGCGCTGCTGTACACGTGTTTTCGCTATCGATTACGTTGGGATCACGTGTTTGAAATCCGGCGTGAAACGCTTCCTCCCTTCGGAGGAGGAGATCTTAATTTCGAAATAGTTTTACTTATCAGGGGGTAATTTCGTTTTCGAATTCTTGGATCTTAAGGGTTAAGATTTATTTAGTATATTTTAGGAAGGAGAAGGGAGGAGGATAGATTGGATTTCATCGTCGAATTTTTATATTGAAAAAGAGTAAATTTTGAAATACGAAATTTTTGACGTAGTCACTCGATGTTTGGAAAGATAATATATATATTATCTTCGAATTCTTACATATTTGGAATATTTGAGGATATGATT